TTAAGCTGGCTAAAACGGGGCTTGAGCCTGTTGAAACGTCCCTAGTTTCAATCCCGTCACGTTGTAATGCATATATCATAATTTGGCTCTGTCAAATCATTTATAAATAATTAACAATTACATTTTAAATTCACGAGTATTATCAATTTATTCACCGTTCATTTTTATTTATGCATAAATTAAATCATTCATAAATTCTTTCTAAATAGGGACTTGTCCCCGCCCTGCCCCTAAAACATCATGGAGGAGGTAAATCACGAGATGTGCCTTAACAGGCTAAGGTACACAGCTATCAAACTAGTGCCCACAAGGAGTTAAATTACATACTTTGTAAGAGGCAGCAATCGAACCCTCACACTGCGACTACTAGCTCAGCTGAGAAGCTTATGCCACATATTTGACACCAGTCAACGGGACATATATACTCTTTGTGACAATTTTGTTTATCGGAGGCACGTGGGCCTACTGCAAGTTGATAAAAAGAGAACGACATCTTGAGCTGAGACTATCTTACTCTTGTCATTTGCACAATTGAGTTATGCCCCGAGAGGCATATTACTATATAACATTAACTGATGTACAAGTTGTTTTTTTTTTTTTTTACAGATGTGTAAGCGTTTAAGATAAAATTAATTTTTATTTACTTGGTTCAGAAAATGCTCCTTAAAAATATGTATGTTGCTTATTAATTTGAAATTGGATCCACAACATTCAAATAATTGATTAGTTCTATCGTTTTTAGTTCTCAACGAGCTGTTCAACACGTTTAAAGTTTACACAAACATATAGTTCTAAAATTGACGTGTTTTGAACAATCCACCATCCCATTAGAACTCAATAAGAAAAAATTTTTACAAGAGGATTGTGAATTATTTCTCATTGGCAAGTGAATATAACACCATTAAGTCCATATTACTTTCTGAAATATATTTTAATTATTTCCCAATAAATTATTAGTGCAGGATTGCAGTTTTAGTATTTTTGCTGGTCCCACAGAATGACAGCACTCCAAATGCATATCAAGCCGGCTATCTTGGCTTGGCTTGGCTGAGCTGAGAGGACCAGGGAATTTGCAACATAGCATAGAGGGTGGCTGTGGTGGAAAGTGGGCCCCAAGAGAGAAATGATGCGTCTTGGTGGAGTTGGAGTTCAGTTTGGCGGCTCCGCTGTCTGGCGTGTGCTAGCCAATATCATTAAGCTTGCAACTTGGCGTACTGTCTGGCTGAGTTGTATTGATGGGCTCCCACTAGTTGGCCACCAAAATTCCACGTGCTTCAAATTTTGAGTCCTAGCTCAATTCCATTTCCAATTGTGTTCATTCTTAATCATACGTCGTTCAACAAACGAAGGAGATCAACCGTGCCAAATAAGCATGAATATAATTATCTAAAAGCACACAATGTAATAAGGTGAAAATTTATTGGTATAGTTGAAGGTTGCTTAAGAAAAATCCTAAGTTTGATTTTTATAGATTGATGCAAACTTTTGGGCTTAAGCCCATCTCGTTTGTAGAAGAAATTCAACCGTTAGTGGACTCCACCCAATCGCAACATTTGACTTATTCCTCACATATTTTCAATGACAATGATCACTTTTCAAAGACTACGGTCACATTTTTTCTACTTTTGCACAGAAAATGAGAAACAAACAAGGGCTAAGTTTGATTGTGCTGCCCTTCCTATGCCTTTGCTTTCTCCTATCGAATGTAAAGTTGGGATCTTTACAAATATCACAAATATAGTAGAATCTGAATAAATGAATGTTAAATATATTAATAACATTGCTTAAATAATAAAAAATTTCG